TGTAGTTCTGGAAGCTGGGAAGCCTAAGATTAAAGAGCCCACATGCCTTTTCTGCTCCATCACCTGTTGGAAGCGAAAGGCAGTAGGCAATGAGAAAACCAGACTGAACTGAAAGCCTCTAGGCCTTTTGCACTGGCATCAGTCCACTCATGAGTGTGGAGCTCCTGTAAACTAAATGCTTCCGCTTAGGCCTGGGCTCTCAGGACTGTTGCATTTGGCATTATCACATGACTTTGGGGGACACACCGCACGCAGCACCTCTAAATCTAGCATGGCTATCTAGTGGCATTGTTGACATTTTGGACCAGACAGCTCTTGGTCATTGGGATTGTACCCTGCACTGGAGGGTGTCTGGTGGCACCTGGTCAGCAATCAGAAATATCCAAATGCCTTCTGCAGGTGGCAGGGCCACTTGTCCCAGTTGAGAACCACTGCTCTTGCTGGGTGACTCTCCTCATAGGGGGCAGTGACAAGTAAGAGGACACTGGAGCTGGCGATGGCAGGCAGGAGTAGGACTAAGAGGGAGCCACCAACAAAGAATGCCCACGGGAAACTCTGTCCTTGGAGTTCCCAGTTACACTTCTGGTTTGAGTACAATGTTAGAGATACATATGCTTTGAGACAGGGTCTCGCGCAACCCCCGCCGGTCTCAAACTTGCTAGGCAGCTGAGGATGACTTTGAATTCCAGCTCCTCTTGCCTCTTTCTTCCAGATGATGCCAGGATGGTTGCAGGGAAGTGCCAGCATGCCATGCTTATTCTTAGAATCATTTTGTTTTCTTTTCTGACCAAGCATTTACGTAATACAAGCTAAGATACACTCTCCCAGCACTCATTGCTGCTTCCTAACCATAGTTGCCATGCAATCAGCCGCTTCCTGCCCTGCTGCCCTGCTGCCCTGCTGCCCCTGCTGCCCAGCTGCCCTGCTGCGTCACGACAGTCTGCACCCTCAAAGCATGAGCCGGGACAAATCCTTCCCCCTCTTAAATTGCTCACCACAGAATCAGAGAAGCAACTAACACGGGAAATGGGCACCAAGACATGGTGCAGCTGCTGCAATACAGCTGTCTGTGATTTGCAGGCCTTTGGGGTCTGTGTGTAGGAGAAACAGAAGTGTTTAGAGCTGCAGGCTAGTGGAGCTCAAGTATGTCACAAATCTGATTCAAAGTTGGGAATCTCAGGTTAAAACTAGAATGGTTTATTTTATTTTATTTTTTTTTGACAAGAAGTATTTTTTTTAGCAGTTTTCTGAAGTTCTTTGGTCATTTGTAGTCATGGTTCTGAGTTGTGTGTGTGTGTGTGTTGAAATTTGCTAACACCCCCACCCCACCCCACCCCCGCCCCCGGCATAAATAAATTTCCTTTCAAATTGTGTTCTCTGGAAGTGTGTGGCAACTTCTCCTGTGAAATGTGAACCTAGAGGAAGCACCTGGAGTTCTTCGAGGCTATGGGAAGAGACAGCCCTCAGATAAAGAGGCTTCTGAAGACCGTGTAAACAGCTTGTGTGACGAAGCAGCTGAGAGAAGCACCGTGCATTTGCAGAATAATTAGATTCAGACCCCAGGCCTCTGTCCACAGCGCTGCGGCCATGAGATTAAACACCGGTTTTGGCTGATCGGCCTTCATGGATAGGAACTGAGTCTCAGAAACTATGAACAGCCAGAAGTTTTTCTTAGGACTTATAGACTGGGCTATGAAAAGCAAGAGGATGAAAGCAGTAACAACCCTATAATGTCTTATAAATATTAAAATTAAAATTGTGCTTCAAATTCTTAGCTAAATGACACTATGGGGATCCACAATTCTTCACATTTGTTTTTCTCAAACATTACAACAACCACGATGCTCAATAGTTTCAGGAAAACTCTATTAGGCAGTTAGTGAATGATCATTGTTTCTTTTGGTATTTTATAGGTTGAGAGACATTGGAGCATGCAGCGAGCTCTGTTTTTGTATCACTACCTTTTCTTCCTGGGGCAATTTGGAGTCATGGCCCTCCTGTGCCTGAATTTTAGGTATTTACTCTGAATGGGGGAGCAAAAAAAATACCATCACATTATTTCACGAGCTGTCCCTAGAATGTCTGCTGAGAAGCAGAGCGTTTACTCTTGCTAGACACACGAGGGCAGCACAAGCGGCCAGCAAAGCCGGCAACGTGGAAAGGGTTGGAGGGCCAAGGCTGTGTCAAGGGCAGGGAGGAATCCAGACAGCGTCTGTACAGCTGGGAACCAGCCCGGCTTCCCGCTCCTCACTGCAAACGGGTCTAGGAAACTCTGGTCTCTGTTTCTTGTGATTTAATCAAGATTGAGGTTGGAATCTAGGCTAGAGAAATCAGAATTCTCAAGTCTGTTACTTTAACACAAACTTTTGGCTGGTAACTTTCCCCAGTAACCTTATTTGAGACAGCTCCAATGAGAATGTTTAATTAGGATCCCCATTTCTGAGGTGAACGGAGCCTCTGTAACCTGAGCTTTACACTGGGACTTGTGTTGCTAGTTTCTTCCCCTAAACCGAATCTTTCCTGAGGGTGAATTTCTTAGTGGTTAAACACACCGCGCACAGGCAACATCCTCATGACCACAGAGATGGAATCTGCAGATTCTCCAGTGAAGTGTAAATCTGGAATGTCACTGGGCACCCAACAGGGAGTTTGGATTTCAGAGTCTGGATGGGTGATCTATGTGGTGACTTGTAGGTGAGTTTTGAAGTTATGTGCACATTCTGAGTATTAAATGGTTCTGACCTCTATCAGAGAAGTGTTAAACAGAAGGCTCTACTCTGACTTTGAAATTATGTATTTTAAGTGGAGAAATCAGTGTTCATAGCTTTTGGCTTGGTATTTAGTACTCTCTATTGAGAATGGCAGAACTGGGCTGGAGGAGGGTTCAGTCGGTAAAGTGTTCGCCATTCAAGCACAGAGACCTGACTTCGATACCAATAACCCACATAAAAAGCTGGGCATGCATCGGCAATCCTAGTGCTGGAGAAGCAGCCACAGGTGGATCCCTGGGACTCACTGGCCAGCACGAACAGTGAGCCTGATTAGGGAGCCTCAGGCCAGTGAGAGACCCTACCTCAAAGAAGAAAAACCAAACCAAACTAAGGTGGACATCCCAAGGATAAACAACACCAGAGCTTGTCCCCTGGTGTCTATGTACACACACACACACACACACACACACACACACACACACACACACACACACACACACACACACACAGAGTGAAAAACAGAAGAATATGACCCAGATCCACAGGATTAAACAAATGGTTCCACCAGAGGTGAAGAAATGTGATAGAGTATTTATTTCAAAGGCCTGACAACTAAAACAACTAATTACCACTTGAAGATGCAAACTTGAAGATCCTCACACTGCCAGAGTCTAAGGCAAGAATCTAGGGGGAACAATGTAATCAGGTCGGAACACTTCTTTGCCTTCTTTTGTTTCTTCTCAGTGACCTGGGAGTGTCTGCTATGCACTCAGGAATGTGTCTGAGCTTTCTGAACTTGAGGGAGTGGGGCAGGGATAAGAGCGGCTGGCTGGAACTCGGAAAAGGGGGCTTTTTTTTCACCCGGCATGTCCATTTTCTTTCCCTTTGTAAGAGTTATCTGCCTCCATCTTCACGTCACATTTAAACTGACATCTGTCAGGGGCTGGGCAAGATCCTACTACACAAAACCTGTGTAAAATCCTTCTGCTTTGTAAGCTCTAAAGTCGGGGCCTCACATGGGGTAAACAGAGACTGTGGGGCCAAGCATTCATCTTTCTTATTTGAATCAGTTCCTCTTCCTTCCTTCCTGGAATGTGGCTTGACATTTTGAATTCCTACTAAATCTCTGGGTACACTCAGAGACCTCAAAAAGCTCTGGAGAGAGCAAACATCCTCCTGTACTTGGCAGAAGAAAAAACGGATGCCTGTGTGGCTTGAAGGCTCAGCTGTTGGGGGGAAGAGAACCAGTGAACCTGGGTTGCCAGAAAAAAAAATCTCAACGCAGAGTTGAAATGGCACATTTGCACTTGAAAGTAGCTAGCAAAGGAAGCCCTACAGTCGAAAGATAGGGAGGGGAACTGGGGTTCTTTGGCTTTCGGGGTACTCTGTGTCCATTCTCTGTTTCTGAGGTCACAGTAGCTCTATGCAGCCACTGCTTCTGGGGAAGCTCTGATTAGTTTATGCTAACTAATATGCTAACGACTTTGTTCTATTAACGAGTTCTCCTCACAATCAGGTCTGTAGGTCATGGCATTCCAGAGTTTTGATGTGACTTCTGACAAGACACTTGCCCCACACAGAAGCCACGGAGAGAGCTCAGGAAGTTGGTCATCATCGCTGAGCTGGGAACTTTGCTTCTGCTCCACTCCTCCCTCTCTAGACCTGGCTCTTAGAAAACCCGCCCAGCAGCAGCTCCTCCCCGGGAGGCGCTCAAGACCGGGCCTACAGGGTATTTAAGCCCTGGTCCATAGACTTGCCACGTGATTTCTCCTTCCCCCTAGATCACCTGGGGATGCTTTGTTCATTAAACCTGGACTTTTAATTTGGCTTAATTGGCTTATTGTGCAGGTGGAGTTACCCACTACTGGGGGATTTCAAAATACTTATCAGTGATCATCTTTCTGAATATAGATGTGTCAGCATATGGAGAACAGAATTCAGAATTAAGAGAAAGGACTGGGAATCATGATCCAACTGGACCCAAGCGTGTTTTAATTCTGGACTTTGGATAACGAACCAATAATCTCTCCTGTTAAAGCGAGGCTGAAGTAAATTCTGTTACACGGTTTCCAACTACCATGTGGCATCCACGATGACTGACTGGGTGTGTAGCACTTATCTGTATGGTAGCTGAGGGAGTATCATTGTTTCCTGAGAGTTCTTGTTTCAAAGGAAACAGCCCTTTTACAGAGCTTGGCACCAAACTTCCTGTCTTTAACTTTGTCGCCAAAGTGCTGCAAAGAACATTCAACCACAAGGTAGGCCTCGATAAAAGAAACAAGCCAGGCGTCAAATGCAGCATATTTTAATTTGTTTCAAATAAAGCAATATATGTTTATATATATATATTTATATATATTTCAGAAAAACACCGGATGTTAATTTCTACAAAAGCACATGTGTCTTCAGCAGATCACGTTTGTCTGATCAACGTCTCAACATTAACTCTCTAAAGACAACCAATGGATGGACGTCACGGCTACCACACAGGTTGCTAACTGAGCCTCTGATCTTCAGCCACATCTTGATTTTTTTTTTTTTTTCCTAACGACGGGTAAATACTGCCTGGCTAAAATGATGCGAAGTCTGGATGAGGAGAAGCGACAACAGGTCAAGCAGAGCCATGGGAGTCACGAACGAAGCAAGCTAGAGCAGACTATTGGGATTAGTAAAAATGATTGAGAGAGAGAGAACAACACCGACAGACGGGGCTTGTATATTCCGACTGGATACTCTCTTTTGGCAGCGAATGGGGTCAGCACCTCAGGCGGGGAAGTGAAACCAGGCCAAAACCTGATCCTTTCCTTTCCCAGCTCAGGCCACCAACGTCACAGCTGGGACCGAGAGAACCGTGGCCTCTGTGGAAACTTCTATTCTCGTGGGGCAAAGATTGCACTGTGAAACCCTACCCACATGACCGCGGAAAGGCCTGGCTTCTGAGTTATCTGCCGCATGCTGCCTTCGACGGGGCTTTTCAGAATGTGTCGGGGCCTCCGGGGCCTTGGTCCCCGAGGGGGCCTCCTGGTTTTTGACTCCGCCTTTGTTTTTGGGACGGAAGCCGTTGTGCGGTGGTCTTCTGTGTTCATGGCGGTTGTTGCTCTTCACCATGGGATCAGCTTCATTCCCACCGCCCTGGGACTTGGCTGGACCATTTAGCCGGTTGTGATACTGTGGATTAAACCTTCGCCTTTGGCTAGAAGGTCCATTCTGCCAAGAAGAGAAAGGAAGTTAAGTGTCTGAAGCCAACAAACCACAGAAGACCCCAGTAGGTGTCAGGAAAACCGACTCCCTACATCACAGATAAAAGTTTTTCCAACAGCATGCAAACAGGCAAAGTTGACATAATTCTTAGTCTAGCACCACCGTCTTGTAAATGGAACTGGAAGAAAATTACTCATCTTCAAAGAGACGATGAGGAGGAGGGAGGGAGGGAGAGTGCTGATTCTGGCTAGATGTCTCCTTGGTCTCACTGACCCCTCATTCTGCAGGAAGGATGATGATGTGGGACTCCTAACAGTTACTCTGAAACACAGGGCCCTTCCTGACTGCTCTTCACTGTTTTGCTTAGATATATCCTGTGCATTTATATGGTGCTCCCTATCAAACTACTACATTAGAGCTCATGAAGCCACTCAGGACCACAGAAATGCCTGGCAGTGTCAACAGTGGGAACCCCTAAAGGCCAAGAGAAGGAGACTCAACAAGTCATGTGCTAGCAAGCCAGTGGTATGAAATACAGAAAAAGAAAGTTGCAGAGATCATGAAAGTGGTTTGTGTAGTATGCTCAACACCCATGTCACCAAATCCCATTTCTTATCCATTTCATAACCACAGGCTACTAATTCCCTCTCAGAAACAGAAGGAGAGGTGGAAGACTGTTGTTTGAAAAGTTGTTTTTTTTTGGGGGGGGGGAGGTTGGTTTTTTGAGACAGGGTTTCTCTGTGTAATAGGCCTGGCTGTCCTGGAACTTCCTCTGTAGCCCAGGCTGGCCTCAAACTCACAGAGATCTGCCTGCCTCTGCCTCCTGAGTGCTGGGATTAAGGCATGCCCACCACCACTCAGAGAAAAGTTGTATTTTTAGAGGCCATGGAAGATAGGAATGAATCAAGTCAGTTTGAAATGTGTGTGCTTGACTGAAATTCCAAGACAGACAAATTTGCCTACCTTTCATCTGTTACTGAGTCTCCAAACCTAAGTAGGAACTTTTTTTTTTTTTAAATCGTAAATAACAACAATCATCACTTTTCCTCTCCTTAATGGTTTCAGGGGTCTGTCCAGGACCTGGAGGTGCTGGCAAGAAGGGTATGAGGGGACCTGTCTCCATGAGGTGAACGAGGTAACATGGTGGAACATACTCAGGCAAGGGCCTGTGAGGCGTGACTGGATGAGGCCAGGCAGGGACTGCTGCTGGAGCAGAAGGGAGCCTGGGCAGGAGCACCAGCTCAGTGGCTAGAAGTTGTTACTGTCTTCCTCTGGAAATGGATGGAGGTTTCCTTGCGGGCATAGCAGTATCTGCTGAAACCCTGCACGCAGTGCTGAGGCCCTCCCAGAGTGGCTTACCTGCTTGTTAGCCGGCACGGTCTGGTGACAAGCATCGGCAGTGCTGGGAAGACCGCTCACCATTTTGGGGTTTGCCACTTTCCCCTCAGAGGGCTTGTTGTGATTGGATGGTTTCCGGGCAAAGTTCCCTTGTTTCCCGGAAGTGACTGCGTGCGCGTTGAGCAGAGGCAGCAGGGAGCTGCATGGGGTTCTTGAGGAGTAGTTGTTCTTTGGATGTGTGACTGTAACAAGGAACGGTTTGGTGTTACGGGCTGTGCCAAGAAAACTGCTGCCCGAGGAGCCATTAGAAAGTGCTGGAAGAGGAAGAAACTGGCAGGAGCTCCGAACAGACATTAAGGGCCACTCTTTAAGATGGAGTTTGAAAGGACACCTTGGTGCTTAGAGACCACCACATTTCTCCTGTGAGACTCCACCATGAGAGGCATTTGCAGGAACAAAGACATACCTAAGCGACTTAAAGATTATTCTTTAGGTCAGGAACTACCACGGACAGGGAGATAATGACACTGTGATGTTCCCTCTCTGGCTCATCCCTAAATGGATTCTGCCTCTTAGATCCTCCATTACTCGGCCCATTGGCACTGCCCTTATCAGGTTCTACATACTGTTCGGTGCTGCAGACACATAAGGATGGAGAGGCTGGCAGAGCCCTGTGTTCTGAGAGCGTGGGCGTGGGTGGATGTTATGGGTCAGGAATTTGTTGCTCTGGGTCATGAGTATCCCTGACCGTAGGGCAGGCCTGCGAGTCCCATTTATCTTCCATACTTCACTAAGGCTACCCGAACTAGTCTTTAACTGCAGGTCTGCATCATTCCTAGGGCGACGTGCATGCCAGGCCGATCAGGCAGCTCCCCACCAGGCACACATTCAGGTCAGGCAGGTCTGCTCAATGCTTATTATTGCCAGTTCTGTTGTTTTTGAAAGTGGTGGTTTCGGGCAGGATGATTTCTATGTGATTATGCTGAATCGAGGCCAGAGGGAATCAATTCCAGGGTAAAGCCGTGATGCTCTCACAGCTCACTGGGATTCAGCTGCCAGGCTGGACAGAAAGACCTTCTTCTGAATTTTTAAAATTGTCACCGATTTTTAAAAGCAATTTTCTCCGTTCCCTTTGTCGGATCAGACTTAATCCCAGGGTTTGGCAAGAGGATTAGGGACGGCCAGTGGGGCTCACAGAATGTTAGAAGTGGAGAGGACAGGGATGTAGCTCCAGCCCCTTCCTATTGGGGGTAAGGTGTGACAAACGATCCCGGGCTGTCCAAACACAGCCAGGGGATTTCAGCAGCTCTCAAGCTCACCAGCTTCAGTTGCCCGGGGTCATTATTTCCTGTTTCCACTTTTGGTTCAGTAGCTGCAGCAATACACCCTCCACGAAGGGTTTACGTGAGGATTACTGTCACAAACACTTGAGGCTGGCTGTCTTTATGCGGACACTCGTCATTTGGTAAGGGGCGCTTTCTCTCACTCTCACCTGGAGGAAAGCCAGTGACATGCCCCTCCCCACCAGAGCTGGGCGACCTGGCTTAGCGTCTCACTTATCATCGGATTCAAGGAGAACCTAGGATGGGCAGGTTCCTTCCCAGACGCCAACCAAACTGCTTGTCTGGAGAAGGGCCAGTAGGGAGGCTCTGCCATAAAGGAGGTAGCACATGAATTAAACACTGAAAGGGACAGCGAGACAATCAGATGGCAGACAAAGACCTGTGAACAGGAGGCCCTCAGCACTGTTTTCTGGTGCACAACTGGAAGTTATTTAAAGGCTGGCTACCACCCGAGGACTGGGCACATCCGTCACATAAGTGGTCAGCCAAACGTACTGACGTGGAAAAATGCCTAGCATCTATTGTGACAAAAGTGCCTCGTATGACGACACATGTACGGGAAGTGTCATACGTAGACAGGACACACATGAAAATATAAAGGCGACCCAAAAGTAATGTCATATGCTGGTCAACACAACGTGGTAATTTTTAGACTAAGCTGATATACTGTTTTACTGAGAGGGAAAAAAAAGGAAATGTAGAAAATGTAGAAGTGTATAAAAACAAGTGCCGTCAGATCTTAGCTTTCTGCTGACTGGGAGGCTGTGGATGGTCGCTGGTTCTTCTCTGTGACTGTCCTCAAACCCACGCTGGCTGGCGCTCATCACTCATCTCCACCTCCCCCTGTGTGGGGGCTGGAGCACAGGAAAAGGCAGCGGCCAATTCTGCTGCACATTAGCCACTATAATTAAGGCTTAATAGGGAACAAGACTAAACTAATGGTTGCTGTGAAATCTTTCATTATCTTCCACTTCACTCATCAGAGAACCCAGGCTAAACAGGGAGGGGGAGGGGAAAGGGGGAGGGCAGCGGTGCTCAGGGCTCTCAGGCAGGCTGGAACAGCATCTCTGGACCCAGAGCATACCTGGGCGAGCTTAGGAAACGTCCGAGAGCAGTATAAAGCAGCTGACCTGCTCTATTCAGCTTCATAAATCCCAGAGATTTGCTGATGGGCAGTGGCATTTGAAGAGTCTAAGTTCAAATCTTGACATTTCCAGTGACTTGTGTCATGACCTTAGATCATCATTAAAGTTCCTCAGACCTCAGTTTAGCCATGCCAGGAGACCGTCTACCTGACATTTCTGCTGTCAACTCCGAACAGCGCCGAGCTGACTCACACAGAATTATTTAGTAAGCGTGCACGACTCACTTTCTCCGCAGATCATGATCTGAGCTTTCAGTTGCTCGATGTCACAGGAGAAGCGGGCAGCCTTCCCCAGCTCTTCATCGTACTTGCGTTCGCTGACAAAGTGCTAGAGGAAAGAGAAGAGAAGCAGGAGTCCCAAACAGTGCCACCCCCACACCTGCTCACTCTGCTCTTCCTGCGCCCATGGATGGCGGACTCGAGGGGATCACATGAGCCCAGTCAGTCTGAGGTGCCACAGAGTAGGCCTTGGTTCTGCCCTCCATGACTATTCACCTTCTTCTGGGAATAAGAAGGAGTCCTGACTCCCCTTCTGCGGCTTAGACAGGTGCATGATGAATAAACTCTGTGTCCGGGCTTATCTGGTCAACCTTTCAGCATCCCTCACTAGTGCAGTTTCTGAGTTGTGTTCCGGCTTGGGCTGCCTAGCTTGGCCAAGGGCCCGGTATGGTATTAACTGTCAAAAGAAAATATGCCATCCTTCCTAGACACCTCATCTCTATTTTAATCAGAAACCAAGAAAACGAAAAAGTCTTCTGCGTCCAGAAAACATTATCTCTGTGATGGAGTCTCAAGGGCTGCTATAGGGAGTGGAAAAGATTAGTTTTCAATTCATTTAGATTCAACTTGAAATTAAGATCGAAATGTAGACGGCGCAGTGAGAAATGCAGAAATAACCATGACTCAAACCCTCCTTGAGTATCAGGGACTTTACCACACGGCGGGGAAAGAGATACCATTAAATTCAAGGGTGAGAGTGGTTGGTGCTTTGGAGACACAGAAATGGAAGGAATTATCTCCCACTGAGTGACATGTGAAGACAGTTTTGTAAGAGAGAACACGGGATCTGGGATATTTAAAAAAAAAAAAATTAAACTGGATGCTGACCGACTTAAGAAATAATCTCATTTTCACCTGATCACATTATCATGAAGTCAGTATTCTTATTACCTCTATTTTACAGATGAGGACTCTGGGCTCTAAGAACCTAAGACAATATGTAATTTATCCAAGCCACAGAAGTAGAAAATTTTGGAGCTATACTGTTTCACTCCAAAGTCTGTGCTACCAACCATGTAATGAAAAGTGGGATTCTGATAGGCAGAAATGAAACTTGGGGGAAAATTGATTTCAATTGACTAGGAAGCTGCAATCCCACATCCCTCCCTTGGTGTTCTAACAAGCTGGAATTTTCAGAGGCGATGGGCGTCGCAGTATGTACCGAGTCCTGTGCTGTGTTGTATTCTGAGTGGGGAGGGGAATGGCCCATGCTAAGGGAGGCTGGGCCTGTTTTGGGGGTTTACCTCTGGACCTGGGGTGAAGGCTGGAAGAAGACAGTGGAGGAAGAAGGACTAGTAAGGAGGAGCTTCCAACCGGCTGCGTAGGAAGAGATGCAGAAAGAAAGGCCAGAAGGAAGATGGAAGGGAAATATCACCCAGTCTGCTTCTCCCGGAGCTCCCTTCCATGCCGAACCAGGACGGAGGGGATCAATGTCCCCTGGCGCTTTCTGCTGTTGCCAATCAGCTTTTTCACTGTGATGGACAGACACTGTTCTGAAGCCAGCGGCAGCTAGATGTTGAAAGGACCCTAGATTTCTAGGAGCTGGGGAGGAGCTGGGTGAATGTGTGTGCATACACACTGTGTTTAATAACTGAGTGTAAGAGAAGAGAAGGACCAGCTTCACCTTCCCACTTGGTTATAAGTCTTTCTTGCCTTCCTGGTGACCACTTCCCTTTTGGGCAACTTTACTCACTGCTTTTTAGAAGATCCACTTCAGTGGGTCTACAAAGCAAGGTGTCACATCCCTTCTCTTGGCCAAAAAAAGAGGTGTGCCTAAGTAGAGAGCAGCCAGCACTCTTTTCTTAGTGGCTTGGGTCACAGCGTGGCACAAGAGCTATGACTCTTGGAGGGTATTCAATGCCACGGTGCTCTGAATAGAGAATTAGGCAATTATTTTTTTTTCCTGTATTACCCATAAACCACACTGGTTCCAAGGTATAGTCCCAGGTCTTCAGACACACCTAACTTTGGTGATTTGCACTCAGTATTATTTCAAGTTCTGCTTCCGATTAGCCAGGGTTAGTTCATATTCCTCACAGTGGAAGAAATCTAATAAATACATATTTGTGGGTAGTAATCTTCACAAAAAGGGGAATTAAACTAGAAAAAAAGATAAAGGATGCTGTATCACCGTCACTGTTAGGGCATACATGAGTGTATGCTTATACACTCAGGCATACATTACACACAGTAAAAATCATATCCCAGATAACTTATGCTTAAATATACTTTAATGGGCTGATCTTGACTACCTTATCCCCCTGTAATAATATATCCCTCCAAGTCATATTCTACTTAATGATAGTTATCAAGTGTTTTTTCACCTTTCTACAGCCTGTATTTCCACCCCGTGGAAGGGGACCGGGTATATGGTGTTAGCCCAGCAGTCTATCGATACAAAGCACACACAATGGGACCAGCGCTCTGGCTCAGCGTTCTGCTGGGGTTTCATGGGACCTACCTTAATTTCTGCTCTGAGTTCGGCCAGCTGCATCTCCGCCATTTGACTGGCTAGATCAGTCAGTCTCTTCAGTTCTTCCGCTTTCTTCTGACGGGCAGTCAGGATCTCCACTGCCAAATGAGAAGGAATGGTGTGTTAGGCACAGAGATTTAGACGCACGAAATGGCCGGGTTTCCTGGAGTCAGTTCTCTCCCAACAGGGAGGTCACTGTGCAGGACCATGACGGTGTCGGTCATCAAAGGAGGTTGGCTCCTCATGTTCACTACCAACAATACATTTCCTGGTGTCCTTATCTGCCAGTCCCCTAACAATCCAGTTCCCTATACTACTTTCCTTCATTCTCTACATTGGTATCTGAACTCACTTTCTTAATTTGGAGTCTTCAATGTGTGGTTCAGAACTAGCTCTTAAAAGACATTAAAACCCTATGGCGCTGGGCAGTGGTGGCGCACGCCTTTAATCCCAGCACTCGGGAGGCAGAGCCAGGTGGATCTCTGTGAGTTCAAGGCCAGCCTGGTCTACACAGTGAGAGCCAGGCACCAAAACTACACAGAGAAATCCTGCCTCAAAAAACTAAACAACAACAACAATAACAAAACAAAAACAAAACAAAACAAAAAAACAAACAATAACAACAACAAAACCCCTATGGAATGAGATCACAAAGATAGAAATCCACTCAGCATACCCATTTTCCTGTGTGTGCTATCCCATTACCTTCTGATAGCATCAGATTCTCTAAATTTTAACACATGTTGACTGGGTGTGTCAGTAGTAGAGCACTTATGTAGCACACAAAAGGCCCTGGATTTGATCCCCAGTCTGGGGTATTTTAACACAGTCACCTGGGGTAACTAGCTGTGATATTGGAATAAGACATCGAAGATTTACTCTATTAGCTTTTCACGAGCTGAAAGAAAAAAATGCTTCTGCATTTGATGTTCTGCAGGCATTTTTCTGTTTTGCGAACAGTGAAGTTCCAGGCTCCAGTATCTCAGATCTTTGTTCCAAGTATCCCTGGTAGAAAAAAAATTCCAAGGGTGAGTCAAGGCCTTTGCACTGGATTTGTGTGCATTCTTTAGCATCTGCACCTGTAGGGAGGACAGCCGAAAATTCCCTGGTGCCTTACTTCCTCGTCTCTGTCAGATGAGCTCAAGTTTCAGAGAGATGGAGAAGCCCAGGTTAACCTGTGTGTTTCCCAAGAGAGTGTGGAGTACAAAAGCAATTAATAAGAAGTCTGAGCTCTCAGTACACAGGCTTCTGGCTCTGTTTCATCATCTACGCATTTCCTTTGTTTCTCTTGGCCAATCATATTAAGCCCTAAGACAAAGCACCCCGTGTAAGATTACACACACACGTTGTGTTGTTCTCCGTCCTTGCTGCGCAAGGATGAACTGTTTTATTAGACCACGTTCACAGTACACAGAGCCAAAAGACTGGTCTTTATGATTTTGATAGTTTTGAAGTATGATTTCATTGTGTAGTTCAGCTGGCTTGGGATGCACATTCCTCCTGCCTCGGCCTCCAGTGCTGGGATTTCAAACCTGTGCTACCACACACAGCCAAGCAATGTGATTTTTGATTCTTAGAGGTCTTAATAGATACAACACCAAATGAGTCACTTAAAAAAAATCAAAGCAAGCAAACAAAAATAAAAATAAGCAATGCACATAACCAGTTAAGGGTTAGGATTCCTGCACACTGAAGCCATTCTTCAGACAGATCTTATCTATTTTTGTCAATATCAATGTTGAGATGTCAATAAAATAACCTTCCGTGTAGGGCCCAATCATCTGCCAATTACACTGACCATCCTTTGGTTACTTATGTGGCTCCCCCTGCCTAGCAGAGGCCTGGGCAGGCTGAACTATACCTACTGGTCTCAGAATTCAGAAAATCTACTGAAAAGTGTGTCTGGATAATGTGCGTGACGAATTTGCACCTGAATGCTGACAGTGTCATACTTAGTGATGTTTTAGGGCATCTAGTTGCACCAGAGACCACAGAATAGCAGCCTGCTATTACTTTTTTTTTTGGCTAGAGAACAAGTTTGGTTGATCTACCCATTAGCTTTACAAATTGAATGTCCACATTTAGAAAGTAGGAAATTCTATTTGAAAGAGATTTCTAGAGGTCCTTAAAACATCGGAATGTGGGCTAGGGACATGGCTCACTTGATGGACTCTGCTTGGCGTGCATAAGCTCCAAGTTCATCTCTATCCCGACATGACGAGGCATGGTGCTAGAGGCCTGTAATCCTACCACCTGGGAGTGAGAAGCAGAAGAATCAGAAGTTCAAGGTCACCCTCAGCTACACAGTAAGACGAGATCAGCCTAGGATACGTGAAGCCCTCTTTTAAAAACAGTAATTTCTAGCCATCCTTGCTAAGCATCCCAAGGGAAACTGATTAAAGCATGATGCCCAGTGTGTACCTTCCCCACATGCCCCGCTGACAGCATTAATGTTACCTGTCTCTACACATCTCCAGTCACTCACGGGACTAGAATAAGACCGAATCATGGAATTCTTTGTGTCCACAGTACCTATAGCACACAGGAGAGTCATGGATGCTGAATGAAGGATTCAGTGAGTGGATGGGCCCACTAACTGAAAGGATATCAAAATAAGAATGGAAGTTCCTGTCCCACTTAAGACTGTCTAGGTCTGGGGCTGGGAAGCTGGCTCAGTGGGTATGGTGGTTTGAATAGGAATGGCCCCCACAGACTCGTGTTTGGGTACTTGGCCCCTAGGGACTGGCACTATTAGGAGACGTGGCCTTGTTGGAGGAAGTGTGCCACTGTGGAGGTGGGTTTTGAGGTCTTCTATGCTCAAGCTATTCCCAGTGGGTCACAGTCACTTCTGCGGCCTGCAGGTCAGGATGTAGAACTCTCAGCTCCTTCTCCAGCACCATGTCATGCTTTCAGCCATGATGATAACGGATTAAACCTCTGATCTCTGTAAGCAAGCCTCAATGAAATGTTTTCCTTTTTAAGAGTTGCCGTGACCATGGTGTCTCTTCACAGCAATAGAAACCCTAACTAAGACACTGGGTAAAGAGTATGCTGTGCAAAGTGTGAGCATCTGAATTCAGATCCCCAGTCGCCATGTAAAGAGCTGGGCAAGGCTACGCTTGTCAGTGACCTCACGGCTACTAGGGGTGTGGGGAAGAACAGGAAAATCCCTTGGGCTCCCTGAACAGTCAGTCTAGCTGGTCAGTGAACCCCCAGGTTCAGAGAAGAGACCCCTCATCAGGAAAAAAAAATAGAGTGTAGAGTGGCAGAGGAAGACATTCGATGTTGACTTCTAACCTCCACATGCACACACACAAACGGGTATGTACACTCACACATGAACCACACATATGAATCAGTATCTCCCCCCACCCCATACTCACATAAAAAAAGTTTTTAGGACCCATAGCTTTGGTTACTTACTTGTCATTATAACTCAACATATGGATGGGACTAAAGTCTGCAACATGAGAAAATGATTATTGAGTAAAAATAGGAAATGCTATGCTTTCTTCTTGCAAAGTATGATTAAAAAATATAAATTCTGAAGACTCAGATTTGAAAGGCAGTAAAGGGGAAGGCGGGCCACAGCGACTGGGTGGCTAAGCAGACCCCGCTTTTCTCAATGGATCATTTGTGAAACTGGTGACAATTAGGGGTCATTGTTCTTTCTGATGATGTGGAACTTGGGCATTCACTCGATACAGAAGGTTTTGTAAAAATAGATATAAATGGGCCCTAAAACGGGAATGCAGGTGCAAGATCACCACTAAGTTCTGAGCTTAGACTCATGCGAATCATGAAAATGAAGACTGTGGATCAGCAAGCGCCGGGGCACATTTTTACATATAGTCTTATTAACATTTCAAAGCCTTTCATTATGAAAAAGCCTGAAAAGTTAAGATCTAAAGACCATGTTCTTGAGGGGCTCACATTTTCACCATCAGCACGTCAATCACAAAAACAAAAAGCAACAACAAAAACAGATCAGATCTTAAGATCATTGATCCTGTAATTAAAATAGAATAATATGTATGTTTTGAAAGCACTATGCTTTCAGAAATCTGTAGAGGGAGACAGTTCCATGCAGCTTGGGTCCCTTCTACATGCAAGACTTAATATTATGTATGCAACTTTATAAACAGAATCTGGCATGCTGAAATCCATTTTCTCAATAGGATTTGTAAATCCCTTCAGATTCTTAGAATACCCTGGAAGCTTGGCTCATATTACTTGAACCATGGAAATCTTAAGGCTTCTCCAATAATACTCAACAGCAGAAGGTGTGCTCAGAATCTTGGGGCCAGGGGTGGAGTGCAAGCATTTCTTCAAGCATAGAGACTCTTTGAAAGCCTTCTTATTCCACAACAGTTCTTGAGAATGTGCTATTTTACTTCATAACATGCTCATGTTAATACAAAGTCATGTTTTCCTTCCACATCTCTAGAAAATCTGTCAAGAACATGTCTGTGTGACCCTCAGGTCCCTGGGGAGGCTGATGAAGTCTGAAAGCCTGGTGATACATGCTTATTTGTTCACCCGTAAAATATAATAATCCTGCACCCCCTGCCGGGTCACTGTGCAGCTAAAGAGCAACATTTACAAAGTGCTGATATAGTATACACACAGAGCTAACATATTAGTAACAAGGTGAGATATACTCATCTAGAATATACTTTTAAAATAATTACATTAGTGTTCACTAATATGGACGTTGCAGTCTATAGACACTACACTGACTTTGATTGTCTTGGTTGTCAACTCGAATACATTTGGAATCAACTATCTATCAGCGAGGCATGCCTGTGAAGGACCATCTTGATTGGATCATTTGAGGTGGAAAAACCCACCCTAAATCTGGGCCGCACCTTCTGGTGGCAGTCCACGAAAAAAAAAAAAAAAACGGAAGAAGGACGTTTTTGCCTTTTTGCCTGCTTGCCTTTACTCTTGCTGGCAAGTTCATCTATTCTGCTGCTGAAGCACTCCTTCCTTGGTATTAGAGTCTGCTTCTTCAGGCCTGCAACATCAGCCATGGAAGACTAGCTAAGACCTCCAGCCTCAGGGACTGAACAGCTAGCTATTGGATTCTAGGCCAGAG